ACAACCTAACTTCTCCGAACCTATGCAGAAGTGAATGGTACGAAGAATAAATCAACGGGCGGAAAGGAAGAAAAAAAGCAAAAAATACAAATTATTACATGCTTGCCTAAATACGAACAAAATTAAAAATTGCAACATGATTAGGAATTTTCATTCACCACGTAAAACACATCCACACATTTTCTTAAGCTTAGCGAATTATTTGTTCTTCACAATTCGTTGCTTGATGTGCTGCAAAATCACTTCACAAAAATTTTCCATATAGAGAATTCCTAAATTAATTCTAACTGTCTTGCTCAAGCACGTTAATGTTTCTGTAATACTTACAAATATAAAGAATTTCAAAGTCCGCTATTAGAACGTTGGGTTATTACATTGAAAGGTTTGGATTTTTTTTAGTATATTTAGGCATTCGTTATCATTATGATGACTTTTATCTATCAAACTTCTCTTATTTTTTCTTTTACTGATGAAGTTCTTTAATATTCGAAGTCTTATGAGTCATGGAAATATATCCTTACAATTCATAGTATTGAAGATAATGCGCAGTGATAACTGATCAATTTCAAGTATAATGAATAAAAAGGATCGATTCAAGTATAATTAAAAAAACCATGCGGCGTCAAAAGAACTATTTAAATTTATTATCTTTATCGAACACCCTATCAATAACGTACTCACACAAAATGATATTTGGGTAGCTATATAATTATTTCTTTTAAGATTAGTTTTTTCTTAATAAGATAAAAATACAAAGTTATAATTTTCTAATTCAAGAATTTTATTTATCAAACTTCAAAAACTTTATGAAATATTGCTTAATTTAAAAGATAAAATTTATAAATTTATCAAAGAAACAATCTAAATCAAACCATATACTTAATAATAGTTGATAGAAGCTTACCGGTTATTCGAATTAAAATTCAATTTTTAAATAATCAAGAAATTTTTAAGATTTTTCAGCTTAATCAATATTGATGTCAATTATACAGCAAAAATCTACACGCTATAAAGCATTAAGCATTATCTTTATGGTTAGATTCATTAACAAATTTGAACTATCTTCTAGACGCTCCTTTTGTTTGCTTGCATTATTTACTAGTCGTTTACGTAAGAACCATATCATAAGAGTAAATGCAATATCACCAACGAAACCACCAATAACGCTACCAACAATTACCCAGGTAAAAAAAACTTTGATCATTCTGTTTTGAAGGATCATCCTGTTTTGAAGGAGTCACGGAAATAGCTGATGGAACAAAACTTGTAACGCTTGGAACGATTCCACTGGAAATATTAGAAACATTATAAATTCTCAAAGTATTCGTAGGGAAGTTGCTTTGGGAACCTAAGCATTAAGGTTAATTTGTTAATTCAAAGAATTTGAAGAAATGTTATTGATATTTAATCTCTTAACGTACCAAATGCCAGAAAAAGAATATCTTGGTAAGATTTGCCGTGGCTCCATATAAACTTACAGAGGGATATGAAGTTCCTGAAGGATGGGAAATTTTCATACTTACAGTATCCAAGAGTCCTAATGGATTGGTTTTATTCGACTCAAATATAATGATTGTAGTGTTATCATTTACTAAACAAGATTTAGTATACACTCGTTCAAAAAAATATAGATATATCAAAATAATGTGGCAGTGGGCGCAATATAAGTCACATGTGAGATATCATATTTTGCGTACTGCATTATAAATGATATTAATAATGTGGAATTATTGAAATGCTTACCGTCCTAAACCATTGTTGAGTCACAGTATCAAAGATATCTATCTAATAATAACAATAATAATAATAAGTACTTCAAAAAGTAACAGTTGGAATCTTGGAAAGTTAAAAGACAAGAAAACAAACCGCCCAGTCGCCAGGAACACAGAGGGCTAATTTAATTAATAATATGATAATATACATTAACATTGGATAGAATAGTTAATAATTAATCTGAATGTAGAATATACATACGCATAACGCCACCCAAAATGAAAATATAACCATTAGGTAAAATAGTCATTGTATGTAAAGCACGCGCTTCTGGTGGATTTGGTGAAGCTTTTCTAAACCACGAATTTTTATTAATACCATAAATATAAAAATCCGTGTCATTAAGTACAGATCCATTATAAGCACCTCCCCAAACGTATAAAGACTGATCAGTTGGATTAAAAACCATCCTTGCACCACGACGTGATGACGGTGCATTAGGAGCTGTACCATCAGATAATTTTTTCCAAGTTGGAGATGAGCTAGAAAGGTCAATTGTATATAAAACACTTTGTTCATTTACATTCTGAGCACCTGGTATCTAAATTTATTATAGGATTTAAAAAGATATAATCGATTTAAGTAAATTTGGTATAAAACATTTTATTTGCTTACCCCTATATCGGCAGAAACCTATTATTTTAAAATTATTTGTACATTAGATATAAAATTTTACGTCACATAACTTAATAAATGGGCTAATTCGACCAGATTGATTCTTTGAAATACGATTTGAGTACTGTACTGCTAAAGGAAAATAAGAATTTGGCACAGGTTACCCCCGTTAATATCAACCTCGTCCTAAGCCACAAACCAAATTTTTATAAATTTATATCAACTTTAATATGATTTCTCGTTAATAAAACCAATTCAAATAGGTTGATATTAATGTAACCTGTATTTTGAATTTATTACATACCGATACCGTTCACCCTTGAAAATCTGATCAAATTAGATTTTCAGAGGTTTTCCTTTGGCTGTACCCATTATGATTGTTCAATAATTACTGTTAACTTTCTGTTTATTAACAGTTAATATTGATATATATACGTACCGTCTGTCCACCAAATACATATAATTTTCCTTCGAACGCTGCATGTGCTGCATCTAATGTAAGTATTGAGCATTATTCAGATAAACTTTATTGTGCTATTATGTATTATCAAAAGTATTCAAGCACACCCGCCAGAGGCCCAATATCTCCAAAATTTTCTAGCTGAAAAGGTGGATTATTAGTGGAAAAACTTGTTGATAGATCCAAGCTAAAAAAATCATTATATATTTCTTTTCGTTGAGTATATTGGCCTCCATAGAAATATATTTTATTTTTGACAAGAACTATTAATAGTAATAATAAATATAAAATTGATATGGAAATATTACATTTATAAAATTCAGACTATACATTACCACTTATATGACTTATACGAGGTGCTACTGAATATAATGCGTTTACCAAACTTGATAAACTAATAATTGGTATCAGGATTAGATGAAAGGAAAAGGTAATCTTGGAGGGATGCATCTTAAGCTTATGAACTAATTAACATAAAACTTTATCTCGAAATAATCAAGAAATTTAGTTTTTAAACTAACCATTTAAAATTCTGTTATATTTATAAGCTCATATCACATTTCAATTTAACTTTTATTATTACATTTTTTCTAGAAAATAATGTTACATTATTAAAAAAAAATGTAGCGGAAGTAATTTTATTGGAGTGATAGAATACAGATATCCTACGAAGATTACAGTTTGTGATCAACTGCCAACTACATATAAATATTTGTTTTTGTATGCATTTTTTTTTTTTATACATTACTATACTTCAGTCTTCCTTACCAGGAAGATGTTGGAATATTATTCCATTGCACAGTCCCTTAAACCGTCAATTCAACTTAAATACAGTCAGACCTCCCTAAATGCATGTTATCGAGACCAGCTCTATGGCGTGCATTTAGGGAGGGTTGAGATTAGAGAAAATTCATAAGATCATAATAAATTATTATCATAAGATTATCATGACTTTAGCAGCCTAGAAATAATAATTTTGATTGGCTATTAATCACGTCGATGCATTTAATGGAGGGGGTTTTTATAAATGGGCCAAACAATTAGAGTGCGCTTACAGTATAAAGAGCATGCATTTATCTATAAGTCTCATTGTGGGGTTACGTAACCTTCTATCGTGCATTTAGAGAGATGCTGCATTTAAGTAGGGGGTTGCATCTGATAAATTTGTGATACGTAGTCCCATATGAAAAAATCAGATAAATGATTTTTTCATATATGATCTATAGCAAAATGCTATTATTAATATTATTAAAATTAATAAAAAAAACGCACTATTAGTTTAAAATATAGGTTCGGTGACTGGCTAAAATTAATGATTCTAAATTTCTGGATCTTCTTTAATTCATAATTCATTTATGAATTAGAGAAATAGTATAGTAAAATTTAAAATCTGCATGTCAAAAAGGATAAGAAAATATATAATTACAAAAATTAAAATTCATTTATGAATTAGAGAAATAGTATAATAAAATTAAAAATCTGCATGTCCAAAAGGATACTAAGAATTATATAATAACAAAAATTAAGATCTTTATATGATTTATTATATAAACTAATTTTAAATTTAACTATATTATAATTAAAATCCTCTTTTTTATACAAAAATTAATTTATCTTATTGGATATGCAGATTTTACAAAAAACAATCAGTTTTCATGAGTAGTGCTCCGAATAGATTAGCTTAAATGACCAAAGACAACCCGAACTAATCTGATTATAGTAAATTTATTATAGATCATGATTCATATATCATTTATTTTTATATAGTCACAACATTCCACTAAAAATTTTCGCCTATATGTTTCAGAAAATTAAATTTCATGTAATTTTCATCGCGTTATACATAAAGTATCAGATAAAAAATTTGGCCAGTATTATTGCATGAATGTACGATACGAATTGTAACTCCTAAATCGCCGAAAATTTGATCTCATAAACTAAGTGCCATGCGTAAAATTACGCAAAATTTCAGTAGTTTTGCATCCCTAGGTCCATAACATTTAATTAATAATTCATGTAAGAAGCGAAGAGTCATGTGATAAGGTTATTATATAATTATTGTTTTGGATCTTCTTTAGTATAGGTGGGTATATATAAATTATTACAAGATTATAATATATAAAATCTAACTAATTTAAATTAATTAAAAATAGTTAATTTATATATATTATAACTGTATAATAATTATATATACCCACCTATACTAAAGGTCAACCAATTTAAGAAATAATTTAACCCATTCTTGATATCATCATCCATATCCATAATAAATAAAAGAATCAAGCCCAGGTGAATATTTAGCAAATAGACGAAACGAAGCATGTATAATTTTTTGCATTATAGGATTATTATTGGATATATTTAGATTATTAATAACACACCATTCTTGAACCGAAAGGGTAATATGTAAGATATCTCAAGAATGATAGGTAATTAAAAGTTGCCGAAGAATAACTTTTAGAAGTGATGAAAGAAAATGAAGAAAGAGAGCAAGTTTGAGGAAAAGTAAGTAAATCAAGATTATGTATTTCATCAGAACTTAAACAGGGCAAGTAAGTTGAAATTAAATGATGAGAAAATCAAGACTTCTGCTA